GATATATAAAAATAAAAAATAAAAAAAACATTTCCATCACTCTTCGAGCAGCTTTCTTTCCTAGCTTGTGGATTGCTTTGAGATGTTGTGTTACTCTTCCATAAACCCAAGCTCTTCAAGTAATACGGGAAGGATGCCTACTCTCTTTGAGTTGAAAAGATTACGAACAAAGTGCCTCATTTAAATCATGAAGCTTTGATACAAATGGAGGCAAAGGCAGAACCATAATACGGGATGGATGCCTACTCTCTTTTAGTTGAAAAGATTACGAACAAAATGGTTACCTCATTAAAATCACGAAGCTTTGATACAAATGGAGGCAAAGGCAGAACCATAATACGGGATGGATGGCTACTCTCTTTGAGTTGAAAAGATTACGAACAAAGTGGTTACCTCATTAAAATCACGAAGCTTTAAAGGCAGAACCATTACACCCTTTGGTGACAGTATTCATTTCCATGATCCAAAAGTTCCCCTCAGAAGACTGACTACCAATCACCACTAACTCCCTTCTAATGATCCCATTTATGCCCCCCTCCCCTGTTTTTAGTTGGGAAAATTCAATCATCGTCTACAGAAAGTTCTTTCACAATGATTGATATAAAATTATGAAGACTACAAAAACATGTGAAGCAAGGCAAGTATTTTTCTTGAATCTTTTTCAACCATACAAAGCTATTTTGAAAAGTAAGGATGGAGGATCAGGTTACAGTTCTACTAACATGGATGGCATTGTGGGGCCTTTTAACCTCAAATTTGAGAAATGGAGTTAGCAAACTTTCTTCAATGGGAGAGCGGTTACCTCCAGTGGAGGTTGGATCAAAGTAAGAAATCTTCCTCCATCCAGATGGAATTCGTGGACTTTCATCCTTATTGAGGATGGCATCATCAATGTGCTATAAAGTCGAAAAAGTCAATTAGTCAATTAGGGTGCTCGATTTGATTGAGATTTGTCTGAAAATTTGGGCAAGTTACTTGGTTTCATCCCTACTAAAGTTATGTTTCCATCATTCTCTTACGCCCGAATTTTTGTGCTGGTTGACCCTTTCTTTCTTTATATTCTCTTAATCCATAGCTTTAAAACTGGAGGAAGGTAATTCTAGCATTGGACCAACAGTCCTTGCCAACCAAAGGCCAGTATTTAGTTTTAACACGCTGACAATAGTCTCTTACCCGCTGTCACATCGATGTTCACCTTGCTACAAAGCCCTGTTAGCCTTCTGTAGGGATGGGGCCCATGCTATGCTACTAGCGATTTAGACCCTTTATTTCAACGTAAAGCCCAATGCTCGAGTTAGACACCAGTGGACTTTGTGAACCCCTCAAATGATGACATTCACAAGGCCATGACTTTGGAACCAACCCACCGCTAGTGTACGGACACATACCAACCCACCCCTACGTAAAGCTTTATGTAAGCCTAAGGGCATCACTAGTTGTAGTGTCCCTCGTAAGTTCGAAATGCGGTCTTGGCCACGTCCCCTTCTGCCACTCTAATATGATGGTATCCTGATCGGAGATCTATCTTCGAATATACCGAAGATCCATGCAACTCGTCTAGCAATTCCTCAATCACCGGAATAGGAAACTTATCAGGTACCGTGGCCTTATTCAGAGCCCTATAGTCGACGCAGAACCGCCAAGTCACATCCTTCTTTTTCACTAGAATGACAGGGCTTGAATAGGGGCTGACGCTGGGTCGGATAATGCCATCGTCTAACATTTCTTGCACCATCCTCTCGATTTCTTCCTTCTATACTTGGGGGTAGCGATACGATCGAACACTTATGGGATTCTGCCCTTCCTTCAGCTGGATGCGGTGGTCAGTCCACCGTTTGGTTGGTAGGCCCGTTGGTTTCTGGAACACCGACGCGTATTTGATTAGTAGGGCTGCAATCCCCTGCGATAGAGGAGGCGGTTGTACCTGGAGTGGCATGGGTTGTTCTTCCTCTGTCGTTAAAAGGGCCCGTAGCTCAATCAGAAACCCTTGATCATTCTCATCCCAAGCTTTGGCCAGTTTCTTGAAGCTCACCTCCATACGCGTAAGCGTTGGATCACCTTGTATCTTCACCTTCCGCCCCTCTTTTTCGAAGGTCATCGTGAGCGGGCCAGTCTACTTGCATCTTCTCCACCTGCTTCAACCATTGCATTCCGAGTACTACGTCGATGCTGCCCAATTCCAGAGGTAAGAAATCCTCCCTTACCGTCATTTTAGGGAGAGTCAAGACGACCCCCTTACATATTCCTCCGCCTCTAACGGCCGTGCCCGTCCCCATGATGACCCCATAGCTGGGTGTCTTCGTTCTGGTGAGCCCAAGCTCGCTGGCTAACTTGAGAGATGAAGTTGTGCATGGCTCCACAATCTACTAGCACCACGACATCCTTATGTTGGATCTGGCCCTTGAGCTTCATGGTTCTCGGAGTGGTCAGGCCGACAATGGAGTTTAGAGCGACATACTCCACGGCTCGACCCTTCTCTTCTTCTTTGCCTCCCTCTTCAAACTCTGTCTCCATTTCCGTGTCTTCCTCCGTCTGTTCGTTGTTGTGCACCACAAAGACACGTAGCTCTCTCTTCTTACACTTGTGCCCCATATGTACTTCTCGTCACACTTGAAGCATAAATCCTTTTCCTTCCTCGTTTGGTACTCTGCTTCGGTTAATCTTTTTTGTTGGGGCTCCGATTTTGGTGTGGGGGCATTTGTCTGTCCCTTCGTAGACAGAGTTACTATGCGGGTAGGTGAGGCGTCTGTTCCCTTCATTGCGCCTTTTCTGACTCCTAGGGTGGAGTTATTGCTACCCCCCTTCCCTCCTAACAACCCTGCATCTTCACGGGCTACTAGATCAATTTCCTCGACTAACTGGGCCTTTCGTATGATTTGCTCAAGCCCATCGGGCTCCATTCCAAGAACTTCAGCCCTAACCATCGATTTGAGCCCATTTAGGAAAACCCTTTCTAAGACCTCATCGGAGAGCTGTGGTAACGGCGTTGCAATGGCCTCAAAACGTTCGATGTAGTCTTCAACGGTGGTTTCTTGTCTGATCGCAAATAGTCGTGCACACTGTCTTCCCCTCTTTGAAGGTAAGAATCATTGGAACATTCTCTTCTTCAGGTCGTCCCAGTCCACAAACTGCCGACGATGGTCGTTCCACTGGTACCAGGCTAAGGTTATTCCGTCGAAACTAATCACAGCCACAATTAGTTTTTCAGAGTCAGTCAGTTTATGGATTTCGAAATACCTCTCAGCTCGAAAGAGCCATGACTCTGGATCTGGTCCCAAACTTACTCCGATCGTTCCCAGCCTCAGTGGTTTCCAGGACCCGAGTACTTTCATCTGTTGCCTTCCTTTTCAGCGACGAGCCTTCTCTCGTTGTCTCCTCTGTCATCGATGACTTTCCTCCAGTGACTTCAGCCATAAACTTCTCCATCTTGTCCTGTCGTGCATCCATTTTCGCCATGAACTTTTCTAGTATCTTTTGGTTCACCTAAACCTGCTCTTTCATGCTTTCGACTGCCTCTTTCAAGCCAGCCACCTCTTGCTCAGTGGCGTCGCAACACTCCTCAAACCTCGTCTGCACCATTCTTCGCTTCTTTCCCAGGATGACCGCTCTGATACCAAATTGTGAGGTATCTTCCTCACTATACTTTGATACTCAAAAGAAAAGTCGCCCTTAGGCTTACAAGACTAGCCAATTCAAGAGGGCTAGGTCTCTCCCAATAGCACAGAGCTATTCTTACACCAAAATGCCAAAAACGGCCTCTACCCTAATCCCGAGGCTCCCTTACAAACATTCCTTCACTCCCACTAACCGTACGACTAACTAACTTTAATGTAAACTTCCCAAAACACCCCCCCTCCTAGAGACCACCCTTCAATTACCCATTCTACCCCTCCTAGCATATGTATGAATAATCGGTAGCCTAACATCATGCTCCTCCGGCAGCCACAGGAGAAGGGCAGGCAGGAGACAATAGTTTGCCATGAAAATTTTGGAAGGCTGGTTCAACACAGAGCCATTCATAATAACTTTAGCCATCCATTTGGTTTAACTGTTGAGATCTTAAACATGTACCTTCTATCTGACCTTCAGTAACCCTATTTGGTTGTTGCACTAGATTTTCAGGTTGTGGTAACAAAGGTATATTAGTAATAGCTTCTTTTTCTTCAAAATTCACATGGCTGCTACCCTGTAAAGTTTCCTCCAGTCTCATGTATATACTTCATAAGAAAAATAAAATTGAAAAGTTCAATTTACAACCCTAAACTTAGGTGGGTGAGTCAATTTTAACCTTGAACTTTCAATTTCATCCATTTAAACCTTGAAATTGAACAAGTTTTGCCACTTAAACCCTATTTAGTGCAATGAGTCCTCCTTTGTGAGCATAATCCTCATCTCTTTTTTTTCATCTTATTTCAAATGCAATATGATTTATTGAACCGTTGAGTGAACCTTCAATGAACGTTTAGGCTTCAACATAGTGCTAAATAAGGAGGATGTATGGCCTTATGAGAGTCTTGATGCCATATAGAAGTAAAATTTTCCGATTGGACTATCCTTTTTGGGGTTGCCAATACATTGGGGAGAGATTACAAGCTAAGCTAGGTTCCCAAATATTTAACTTGTCAGGAAGTGGAGACTCAAATTTATATTTTCTTCCCTTGATTTCAGTCTCAAAGTGTGTGATCTTTTATGTTTTCATTATTCAATGTTTCTTGGATGTTAACAGGCACCACAAAAGAAAATAGTGTAAAAAGGAACATGATGCATTTTAAAGATAATTGCACAAGTTGGGGAGAGATTATAGATTTGTAGCTAAATTTTAAGCCTCTTGTTTGTGTGCACCTTCAAATTCCTCTAACTATACTCTCCTTTTAAATACTTGATGTGATGATAACATTATATTGGCTGTCCTGAGAGTCTTTAGATCTGAGGCTCGGTTATTTGGCTGCTGATATTTTAAGGTCAATTCTGATGCATTTCGTAACTTGTTCTCTGCCCAGATATTTGATGCAATCATTTGCGACCCTCCTTATGGAGTGCGTGCTGGGGGGCGTAAATCTGGTGGTCGAAAATTGCTAAAAGGAATTGTTGCCCCTTACACCRTTCCAGACGACAAGAGGACAGACCATATTCCGTCAACTGCAGCTTACAGTCTTGTTGAGTGTGTACATGATTTACTTGACCTTGCTGCCAGGATGCTTGTAATGGGTGGCAGGCTGGTATTCTTCTACCCTGTGTTGAGGGAAGAAGATTGTGCGTTCAACCAATTCCCAGAGCATCCTTGTTTTACTTTAATCAGCTCGTCCGAGCAGATATTGAGTTCTCGGTATAGCCGGGTGTTGCTAACTATGGTCAAAAGAAATTCGTACACCGAAGAATTGGCAGAGGCATCAAGATTAAAACATGAAGAATTCAGGGAGAACCATTTAAAGTGGTTAGAAGATGGTAATCTCCATTCTGCAGTTTTCAGTCCTGCCGATCCCGAGCTTGCGGTTGCTGGTAATGGTAGTGTGGGTAGAGACCCGAAACCCAAATACAGAGGGAAGTATGTATAAATTGAAGTCAGTGTAGGTGTGTTGGTTTGCTGGTTCTCTGAATTGTCAAAGCCCCATGGATCTTGGTTCATGTGCATGCAGTTTTTTCTGGGAGTAGAGACTAACAACCTATGATTAGCTTCTCGAAAAATTTCTCCAATGTTTGAATTTAAATTGAGATACTAATACGAGTTCTCAGACTCTTAGAAACTCGAGTTTAGATCACGGAGAGAAGTTTTACCTTGAAATGATTTCAGCAGGCATGGTTTAGTTGCAATGTTGATCACCAGTGTTTCTCTGAACCTTGCTGAAAGAGTAGTAGGTGAGATTTTTATATGAATGTAACAATTTTCGACAAGGGACGAACTTAGTAATACATTATGAGAGAACTTTACTATAAATGTTTTTTCTTGTGTATATGAATTTGTTTGAAGTTTTTTTTTTTCAATTTAATTTTATAACTTAGTTATTATTAGACCATTTTCAGATTAAAAAAATTATACTTTTCAATAATTTAAGATTTAAAAAAAAATACAAATAGGTTGGAGTGAAACATATATGTAGAAATTAAAAGCCTAGTTCAATTTTCACTTTGAACTATAGTGAGAGTTAATTTTAACTTTAAAAAATTTAGTACCTGTACTCTCATTAAAGTAATGATTTAGTCCATGAACTTTTAAAAGTAACGATTTAATTCTCTTACTTCGAAATTGGTTACAATCTAGTCCCTATGGTTAAAAATTAACAGAAAAGTGACATGTCTGCCAACTAAGATCTGTGTCGATAAATTAATTGTCCAGCTGTCCAATTYAGTTTGATTTTGAGTCGGTTCATGGTTGATTTTATTTAGGGTAAAAAAAGAAAAAAAGGAAAAAAATGAAAATATTGGATTGATTCAACGTCCCCACCCTTCCCAACTCTCTGCTTTTGAGGGGATATTGACTTATTTGACCCCCTCAAAGTTTTTTTTTCTCAAATAACTTAACCCTTCAAAAATGTTCATGATCACCCATTTATTTATTTTAAATAAACTTAAAAAATGAAATTACATTAGTACCCTTGNTACGCATTTATATTATCAACACAGCTTCATGGTGCTACGGATAGAAAATAGTGTCCACTTACATTTGTAGAGCGTCGCGGCGATGCCTCCTATTGGCCAACTTGGCCCTACAACCGGCTTTTTCATTTTTTTCATCCTTCTTCGTCCCGACTCGATCCTAGTTCATTTCCACGTCAATTTGGCTCTACCAATACCAACAAAATCATAGTTTTTTTTATTGATATTTGTTGATGTGCTTGTGCGACATAACCACAACTAGAATTTGACATGGGCTTTTAATCGCCAACCTAAAAACAGAACCTTGCACCAATATTTTGCATCGTTTTTTAGAAATTTCGTCCCACATCAATGAGACATGGTGCTCAACCTCTTCCCATGACGTCTGTATGAGAAAGACAACAACTCCACTCCAGCTCCCAGATCTTAAGGTCCATTTTGCCCATACCTCTTCAGGAGGAACGAGAAAACCCATTTTGAGTTGATTGTCTCCAATGGGATATTACATTATTTGACCCACTCAAAAAAATTTTTTCCTCAAATAACCTAACCCTTCAAAAATGTTTCTGATGACCCATTTTTATTTTAAATAAACTTAAAAAATTAAATTACGTTAGTACCCTTGGCTCGAAACTGTTCTCATCCCCCCCGTTTCCCCCTCTTTCTCTTTCTTTCTCTTCCTCTTCGTTTTCGTTGTTTTTCTTCCCCGTTTCTTCTCGTCTGTTCGAATGAAAGCTTGCCTGAACATTGCTTGGAACCTATTTTCGCTGCGAACTCGTGTTGGTAAGTGGATTTCGTAACTCTGTCTAGTTAGGTGTTTTCCATTATCGTCGATTACCAATATTGTAGTTAAGGTTTAGTTTGATTCTGTAAATTTCGATTTGAGGGGTGATAGGGCTTGAGGTTTTGTGTGTTGTTGTGTAAAATTAGAGTTTGAATTGGTGGGAGGTTGAAGAAGGTGAAGAATCGTTTAGATTTCGGGCGAAATGTAGCAAATGTCGAAGGGTTTTCTCGTGGTTTTGAAATTTTCGGGGCTATTTTGGGCGGGAGAAGATCAAAAAATCCTGTGGACAATTTTGCCCGAAATAGACCTCGAGGAATTCTCGGGACGATTTCGCCCGAGTTTGACCCCAGGGAATTTTACAGAATTTGAATACCATTGTTTTTTTTGTCAGTTTTTTTGCTATGTCATTATTTACTTGGATTGTTTGGATGTGTGTGGATTGTAGCGGTCTTATTATTGGGGCAACTAGAGGAATAGCTAAATTAAATAGTTTGATTTGGAAAATGGCGAAAAGAATCGAATATCAGCAAAATAGCTAAAGGTAGTTAGAGTTGAACTACGAGATTTTATGTGGACAAATTTACCCTCCTATCAAAATAGGTAATTTATCCAGTCAACCACCCTTCAACTAACTTTTAGGAAAGAAGATAATGAATGAAAATTATAAAGGTAAAAAAATTTAAATAAAAAATTTCAAAATTTGTAAGATAAAATCTGTTGAATGCATACATTGAAATAGAAAAATATTAAAATTGAATCAAAATGTAAAATAGATTAAAAAAGACGTAAAATCAATTAGAAAAGTGGAACATGAATAAAAAATAATATTGAAATTCGAAAGTGCTGTTTTTAAAAATATTGAAGGATTAATTGCATTGTATAAGATGAGAATTAATATCGCGTCATAATCCATTATGAGAGAAGGGAACTGAAAGAACTTCTAGAATCAAAATCCCTTGAATATCCCAAACGGCGTTCAAGGGTTACACCTCACTATATTCATCGGAAAAATTCACCTCACTCATTCGAAAATTTCCTTCTTCTGTGAGCCCTAACTCCTTCGAAAATTAATACCCCTCAAGATACCACCGCAAAGGTCCCAAATTGCAACAAACCACATACCACTATAACCCTTCACCAAAACTCTTCCCTCACCAAATTTCAAACTCAATAATTGGTACCACTTTACCACTCCATAATTTTAATACCCCTCACATAAACTCTTCCCACGTACCACTTTACCTCACCCCATAGTTTTAATACCCCTCACCAAAATCCCTTCCAAAAACCACTCCAAACTCTTCGCCGAATCCGAAACGGCACCCCTCACCAAATCCACACTCCCAACTCCTTCCAAATGACGTACCACCATAATAACTATCCCAAATGGCACACAAGTATCTCTCACCAGTCAGCAACGGCGGCGCAATAATCAAGGGAACGACGTTCACTGATTTTCGAAGACGTTGAAGGTCGGTCCAGCGATGCAATAATCAAGGGAACGACGTTCATTGATTTTCGAAGACGTTGAAGATCGGTCCAGTGGGTCCCAGAACACGCGTAGAGCTTCGATATTTAAGGGAATGTCTATTTTGAGAGTTCCAGACAGGTTTCAAGGGTATGTACTCGACTTCCCCATATTTTTGATTTTGAATATTGTTTAAATAAATGAGGTTTAAAAAATAGATTACCAATCCTCATAATTAAGGGATTTTGTTGACACAATAGATTATACAAGACACCTGGTAGATATGATCGCTTGGGAAAGATTAGATTACAAAATATAGTTATAAATAATAAGAATATTGTTAAAATCAGATTGCCAATAATGAAATCGGAAGAGATAATTCATCAACCCAAAAGACTACGAAACATGTATGTTTCTGTAAAATTTAATTCCCAATAACGCTACAGAAACAATGTGGTAATTTTTTTTTTCAGATTATTGTCAAAAAAGACCCTTCAAAGACGGTTCCCACCAAGGATAAGAATAAAGGAAAGAAGGAGAACACTACAAGGTACTGAAGCAGTGAGACGATGATGAAAAAGAGGTATCTTCTTATTCATAGGTCGT